CTGCCCTCTAAATTTTTTGTCCGGCTCGTCCAAAAATCTTAAAAAATAAATTGGCCAAAGCCAGGCCCAAATTTTAAACAAAAATTTGTCCTAAGACCTGCCTTTTTCACTGAAGCCAGGTCCGTCCCGATATTTTCTTCTATTAATTTGCCCGAGGCCTGACCTAAAATTTACGAAAAGTCAGACCCGTCTAGGTCTTTAATAATCTACCAAAAGTATGCCACGGTCCGAATTTCTTTACAAATTTTTTGGCCATCTGATTTTTAATATCTATATCTACTCTGTATACTAATTTTTTTTTCTCATTTACAATTAAGGCTTTTATATTAACTCTCTCCTGGATGGCTATCTATTTCTATAGCAACCGTTTTATAAATAATTGTGTTTGATATCTCTGTTACTGTATTGATTATAGGATCATATCATAAATATCTTATTTAATTTTTTTTTAAAATTAATTAGCTATATTCAAATCTTTATTTTCAACAGTAAAAAAAAAGATTACAATAAGATAAATTTTTGATTATAAATATTAAATAATATACACCATATCCATAAAATATATATTTAAAGAGAAAGCTATTTAAAAATAAATAATTAGGTTAGGTGGGTGGGGTTTAATGACCCATGTATAAATATTAGGAGCCTTAAGGGAATGGGCCGTTCCGCGGCTCATAGGCCCATATCCGGCCATTTTCTAGCGGGACTGGTAGGACTTTGAGTTTTAAATTTTTTTTTGGGCTGGGCTTGTGCCTAAAATTATTAAATTTTAATTCAGCTTATTTAAAACAGTTGCTAACTTAAACAAATATTGTCATTTTTTTCTAATAATAATAGATTTTAATATTTTTAACAAAATAATTGCCTAAATACACTTTAAATATATATTTTTTTATTAAATACAACAAATTAAACTTTGGATATGGGTTTGGGAATTTATTTTGATATTAAATATGGGGTGGGTCTAAACCTAAAATTTTTTATTGCGGGCCTGGACCGGACTTATTCAAAAAATTAAGGCCCATGAAGGTCTCCGATAAATATACAGCTGGATCGGAAAATTTCGATTGATATTCTTTGTCGCAAGTAAAAGCTAGCTTTTGGATCATGTGTAATTAAAAGTGACATTTGTCCGATTGTTTTGAATAATTTTAGGGCATAGGGACCAAATGATCTACCAGTATCAGAAACTACTGGAAGGAACAAATGATTACCTAATTGGCTATATTTATTTATCTTTGAGTTTTCTGCTCGTGGAGTTGACAAATCAGGCAAAACGATCTACACAAGTATAATCCCAAGCAAGAGGTTTATCTTGTCTAGGGTACTAGAGTCGTCACATCAGGTCTGGTTAATTCTCAGGGCTAAGGCCAGAGAATTCTATCGTAGAGGGAATTTTTGTGGGTCTCAAGATTCTTGACCATCGAATCGATGGCATTTTAAAAAACAAGAGTAGATTTATTATTTTAGTAATACAGCTCTTAAAATACATATAAATACGCATATATTTTAATTTTTTTTCCCAATAGTATTAATCAATATATTAGTTTGAAATCTAAAAAAATATAGCAAAAAATGTCTGGACTGCCATAAAGAAATATATGAGTTTAATGATGATCAACCCTTGCTGTCCCAGAGATTGGAGAATTGAATCTCTCATCTGAGCTTATTTCCTAATTTGAGAAGACGTATATCCGAGGACGTAGAGGTCCCAGTAGAAAAATATTTTTTTTGTTGTAAATTTATATTTATATGGTAACGAAATAATTTTGCAGCTCCTCTCTATAATGTAAGATTTTAAAATAAACACAATTCGACGTTAGAAGGTGACGCCAGAACAACAAATTGTGTTGAAGGGCGGCATTATGGAATCCAATCCCTATATCAATGTTCTCACCCAACTGGGAATTTTTAGATGAGATTCAAAATGCAAAAATATAAGGCCCTATATCTTTAAGTCATAATGGAGAACCATCGTACCTCTCAAAGAAATATGAAGATTTAAAAAAACAATTTAAGATACGTTTCTAATTATGGACTATCGGATTCTTTAACATTTTTAAAAGCTATTGCCCATATTTCATGCAATTAAATATTTTTTATTTTTTACTCGTGATATATTAATTTATAGTTATTTACTAAAAAAAGTATGAAATCATTCTTATTGCTTATGTCTCTTGTTTCTCTAGATAAGATGATAATTAAGTTAAAAAAATATACTTATGCAAATTAAAATATTAAGTTTTTTTCAATAAAAAAATACAAAATAATAATTAAAATTTTTTAAATATCAGAAATTTATAAATGGAAAAGTTCAAAAAATCAGATATTATCAAAATTTATCCTTTTCAAATCTATTAAATTAAGTTTTATGTATAAGTGAATGTCGAAAATATCGATGAGCGATATTAAAACATTACTTACAAAAAAATATGGCATTAGCAATAAACAAACTACGATAACGTGCCTAGTAGGAAGGAGAAAACGTCAAAGAATATGCAGAGGAATTGGGCATACAATGCGATTTAGGGGCTACATGGGACCATTTTCTATGAGCTTAATTCATAGCTGATATACTATCACCCGAAATACGAGGTAAGCTAACAACTCGACCTACGTTCAAGGAGAAAATTAGATTGGCAGAAACGTCAGAGCTAGCAGGGGCGGTTAATTATAATAATCAAATAAATAATACAGACGATTATGCAAGGCATCTACCTAATCCATATACATACTCACAATACCTAATACAATCCTAAAGATTTACACATGGGAATTACGTACAGAAAAATAATCAAACATACTATAGCTACAATAACGTTGGTCATTTCCAATTATTCTCCAGATAGAAACAACGGCAAAAATACATATTTTACCAATCGCCACCAATACACCCAAAACCAAGGTAGTGAACTTTATGCCCAATTAAAAGTACAATGACTCGATTTTAAACAGGGCACTAAAAAGGCTTTTCTGGATTTGACGTTATTTGAAGTTCTATTTTAGGTTTCAAACTCTGTTATAGGGTAAATTATTTAAAAAAAAACAAACAATTAAAATAAAATAACAATGTTTTTTTATTTTTGCACAACCCTCAAAAAATAAATGACAATCAAATATATAATATATAACAAAACAGATTTAAAAAATACATTAAAAATTGGATATTTTAATTTTCGTTTTTTCTTTATATATATATTCTCCTTTTTCTAAATTCCTTTAAAATATATTTCAATATAAATTATATTTTTATAAATTTACCTTAATTCATTGGTTGTCCTCGATAACCAATCTCCAAAAATTGATGCATTTTATTATAATAATTTGAAAAATCAAAAGTATATTTTCTTCTTGGAATAGCCGATGTTGGATCAGTAATAGAATCACCACTTACAGAGGAAGAATTGATCATATGGAAATTATTTGTAATATTAGGTATTGAATTTGAATTAGATAAAACAGGATCAGGATTTAATGTAAATGAATTTGTATTACTAGATAAAATTTGTCGTATATTAAACATTTAAAAAAAATATTAAACTCTATTTTATAAAAAAAATTAAGCTATATAAAAATTGTAAATGCAAAAAAATTACCGTATGTATTTTATAAAAAAAATTAAATTATATAAAAATTGTAAATGCAAAAAAATTACCGTATGTATTTTTTAAATCTGTGTTATATATTATATATTTGATTGTCATTTATTTTTTGAGGGTTGTGCAAAAATAAAAAAACATATTGTTATTTTATTTTATTTTAATTGTTTGTTTTTTTTAAAATAATTTACCCTATAAAGTAATGAAATAAAAATGAGATTTAGACCTTCTAAAACGAATCACAAAACATATGAATATATATTATTTATTTGCCTTTTTAAGATTTTAAAGTGAGAATCTTAAGGAGCTACACGAATCAAATATCGAATTACCAATTTTTAAAAAATTGATATTTGATTGAAATGTGTCAGACAGATCTTACAGTAAGTGACACTTTTGCAAGGTCCGCGAAGTTGGTCCCCACGTTTGGATTTTTAATGGGTTCTCTATTGGACGGATCTGTATCCGATTTCAGTTCGATTTTATGCTATCACCATTTTTGAGATATTTCAAAAACAAAATAGGGGGAGGGGAACTTTACGGCAGCCCTCCAACTCTTGAATTAGAAATAAAAAGTATTTAGGTCGATAGAGAATGATTTGTATGATTTTCAGATTGATTTGTACCATTACCGTTTTCCAGATATTGATAGTTAAGGTTTTGTCAACAAAAAATTTAAAACACTTAAAATTAATATAATTAATTTTTTTTAAAAATGTTTTTAACATATAACGATATCTGGATGGGCGAGTAGCAATGTATAAACGAGATTAAAAAGGTTCCCTGTGAACAGGGCATAGAATAGAATTGCCACTCCTCTGTGTCGTACATAGCGACTAAAGAGGTTTTAAATAAATATTGATATAATTCTAATATCGCTTATTTAATAAAATTAAATTATAATAACAAGAGTTGATATTTTTATAGAATGATATAAAAACCATTTTATTATTTCTTAACCTCTCACTAATGAGAAATAAGTAAGATAATAATAAAATTTAGATAAAAATTATAAAACATTTCCCCCAAAAACGATAAAGTTGATAGTTTGCAGCCTCGATCCTCTAAGTATCGATGTAACATATCATGCAGCTATAAAACCAGGTCTCATAAAAAAAAATACTAGTCCACGAAATAATGAAAGGTCGAGAATTATAATAGATACCATCTTTCTCTATCTTATTTTATATTAGTATATTTCTTAGTTTTATAAAGTAGTGTAAAAGAGATTAGCTACTATATAATATTTATTTAATATTATATATTTTTTGAATTTCAAACTTTAATGGATCGCCCAATTTATTTAAATCGGGGTTGAAAATTTTTAAAAAAATATATGTCTTTATAAATATCTTAGGTTTCTATATTTTTAAAAAAAATTCACATAAAAACGTCGTTTATCATTCCAAAAAATAATACCTTTTTATATATACCCGGGTGTAAAAAATAATTTTTGTTTCTTTTTTTTTAAAAAAATCGTCAAATGTGTTCGGAATCTTCTATCGTAGATTTAGAACGTGAGTTAATTATCATATTTTTCAAATGATTGATGTGTATTTCAACGTTATCCTGAAAAAATGAGATATTCGCGGTCTCGATCTGATTATCTCGAATTCCGGAAACGCTTTTCATTAAAGTTTCTAGAGGAAATGATAGTAATGAGCTTTCTTTACCTATTAGTTATAATTTTGTAAATGAAAAAAATAAAATAATTTAATAACAATTTATAATTACTTAACCGAGAGGTGCACCGTTAGCGTTACCAAGCATCATTATCGGGGTGCTACCGCGACAGGTGTTTTTAAATTAGCTGATTGAGTCCGACTCGAACAGAAAAATTTAAATTTATTCGAGTCATGACGATATAAATGTCGGGCCTTTGGCCCCAACCGTTAAATAACCGCTGAAACCGATAAAAGCTAATAATTTTTATTATTTTTTTTGGTGCAAAAACTAGCTTCTCTTGTGCCAATTAAATATATTTTTATTAATTCCTATTTTTTTTTCTTTCTTTCTCTCCTCTAGTAATCTAAAAATTATATAATTCACTTATATTTAATAATCCTTGGTCTGCCAAAAATATAAATTATAAAATGTGATATTTAGTTTTACTATATTATATTAAATATAATCTGTTAAAAAAATTTAAAGAATAGTAAAATTTCAAACCTGATTCGTCGAATCCTAAGGAGGTTAGCGGGTATTGTTGACCTGGAGAATCTTTAAGCTGTATCAAAAGAGATGTGTACCTAGCAATTAAATTTAGTATCTTAATAGTTGAATCTTCTTCGCCATTCGTACAGGTATTGTTATTATCAGCTTCACTTATAGGTGGAAACCTGCTACCTTTCTCGTTATCTACCTTATCGAAATGCTTAAGTGCGACATCCGCCAAACACGGGTAATTAAGAGAATTTGCGGTTATTATGTTTCTTATGACTTTGAAGGCTTCCGCGAAATGATTACCGCCGATTCTCGAATTTACGATCATGCGCGGCACTTTTTCTCCCCCCGTGGAATCGGATTCGACCTTGGCACCTTGTTGATAAAGGCATATTCTATCGCATAAATCTTTGAGGGCCTTGTCCCGTAACTTTATTTTAACTATCAGCTCGGCGTAACGCAATTTGAAATCGTCTGGATAGGAGTGAGTTGGGGATGATATGTGCTGGGTCTTTTCGGCTTCCCTGTTCATTTTACGCAGGGAATCAAGGTATTTGGCTTTAAACATCAGCATCTTGTAGCAAGCAGCTATTCTAACTATAGTCTCCAGTCTGGTAGCAGTAGAAAGTTGAGACGTATTATTACTAATTAAAGGAGCACCAGTCATCTCGGCCCTCTCCTGAGCTATATTGTGGAGCACGATATTAGGCCAACCGTCCAAGCTCAATAGAGTTGATGTGCATTCGGAAAAGTTGTTCGATAAAAAATTATTATTATACGTCTCTTTATCGATATCGCTAAAAAAGTCATCTCCGTTTTCGCTTCTTGTTTCGTGGGTCTGACCTTTAAGACCTCTTTTGAAGGTCGGGGATAAGAGCGCCTTGTTTTGTATATGACTAGCCCCGGTTCCCGTCTTTCTAGGGGAGAGAACCAACCAAGAAGCCGGAGGCGATTTAATGGTATTATAATTAACGAAGCGGGTAAAAGTATTGAAGGCGTTACCTTTATTATTATCCATATTATAGCTATCATCGGGATTGAGATAGCTACCAAGAGCGGAATTATGGTGAAAAGAATTGTTGGTTATGCAAACGCCACCCCCGACAATCGAGGAAGAACGAGCCATAACTGCATTAACAAGGACGGACCTAAGGAGTTAGGTAAAAAATTAAGGCGAGAAAAGATGTAACTTTTTATACTCAATGATATAATCATTATAATATCAAAAAATAAAAGTTTAAAAATCGGTTATAAAAAACGATACAAACCTAACATCGAGAACTTGTATCTGGCCATCTTCCTTCCAACCCGCAATTTCGAAATCTGGAACTGACTGGGTTCCCAGATATGGTCTATCAAATTCGACCCGGTAAAGCCAGAGGGAGTGATCGATAGCAGTAATTCTACCCCGATACATACCCTCGCACGGGTGTCTCACTCTAGCAACAACCCTTGATCCTATTATGAGGGGGTGAGGAACGGTAGGTGGGAGATCTCGGGCCAAGAAAAAATCGGTGAGAAGTGAAGAAGAGGAAGGCACGAGCTGAGATTGACCTTTAAGATTTAATATTTATGAGATAAAAATGATATTATCTCTGAATTGTAGTGTTGTTAAAAAGAACTTAGATTTAGTTAATTTTTATTTTAAAAAAAACTGTCAATCAAAGATTTTAGCCAAAAAAATGTTCCCCAAGCCTTGAGATTTTCAAATAAATGGCAGAAAAGTTTGGCCCTCTTTTGGTCAAAATCTTGAGATTTAGGTGATTCTTTTTTGCTAAGATTTTTATTTAGCCATATTTTTAAGAAATAAGAATTCGTTTTGATATATCTTATATTTCGAGGTGTAGTTATAGATGACATCATAAAAAAAAATATGATTAATGCATTGATAGTTGGCGCGAATTCACTGCGAAATATACAAAATTCGTGGCCGCGAATTCGCGTTAACGGTGAATGAAGGGTAAAGATGTTACAAGGATAATTATTTTTATTCATAGTTTACGGATTTCATTGCAAAATTTAAATTATTTCAATTAAGTCAACTAATAAAATAAAATATTTCGGGCATAACTTATAATTGTGACCCATCATCAATAAAATATAAATAAATATAAGAAATTCTTTAAATAATAAATGAATCAAGAATTAAAATAACTAATTAGAGCTACAATGTAAAACGATAACCATCTTCTTTGTTATAATTATTAGGTGTTTTTTTATATAATTTAAATACATTACCTTATTAATACGTACTAGGGAAATAATTAAATTTTGAATTATCATAATTTTTATTATCATTTGTATCTATACTATGTACAACAACACATGATAATGTTGGTTGGTAATTTTGCATTTTTATGTTCTCCAGTTCGTATTCCCCCTGTTCTGCCTGTTTGTACAACGTATACTTTAAAAATGGTTACTGTTTACCAAATACATGGATAGCTTTAATTAGTTATTTTAATTCATAATTCATTTATTCAATCCTTTTCCTTTTTTACAATTGATTGAACTAAATTAAAAAGTATTTATATATTTTAAGAGTTTTTCCAATGCATTAGAATATATTAAATTATTGTCTCACTTTCACCTTATTCTGATTTTGTCGTATCTCATAATTTATTAATATTTTGACTTGATTTGATGTTGGAAAGAAATATTCCAGTCACTACCAAAAAATAAATACTTCCAGAAAAATTAAATTAATAACAATGTAAATTTTGAATTGAACCAAATAATTTTTTTGATAGATACTATCTGCATTTGGGCATTAGAGGTTGGTGCAGGTAGAAAAAAAATATTTTCAGGCAGAATAACTTGTGGTAAATATTTTACAACTTGGCCCTAAAGTTACCAAATATTTTTAAGCGCTTAGAAATGGGCAAACTAATGTTTTTTTCGTCTTCATTCCTAGCCTGTAATGTTTTTTTTTCTTCATAAAAAATTATCATAAACTGGGTTGAACAATTTGTATAAAATTAATTTATGAGTTGGGCTAGACAAAACAAAAACATTTACAGTTTTAACTGAAAAACTCAATCAACAAATTTCATAAGCAAGTTAGGGTCGGCCTGCTCCAGCCTTAACGGGCATGCCCATATAATATAACATTTTTTCAGACCTGCAGGCCCGGACCTAAACCTGTGTACACGGGCCGGGCCAAATTTTTTCAAAATATACCCGGACCGGGCCTAAAAAATTTTTATTTTAAATACCAGGGCTGGGCCGAATATTTTAAATTGCCCTTATTATCTATAAAAATCAAAAATAAATAAAATATATTTAAAAATTGTGTATCATAGAACAATATATCATCTTCATTCACTTATCATATTTCCTATTTCCATTTTTTCGATGCCCATAAAATATTTCTATTTCTAGTAAAATGTTATTCAAATAATCATTATCTTAGGTGATATTCAATCAAATTAAAAGCAACAAAGATATACTCAATATTTTAAAATAATATAATCTTTTTTACGCTAAAAATTTATTTTAGCTAAGTATCATTTTATCACTCTTTTTCTCTATCCCAAATTCAGGCAATTATGTATTATGTGGCCAGGGAGAGAGCGCAAAATGATTGATACGTATATAAAAGAGTATATTAAATTACAAGAGCAACAGGAAATAAGGGAATGATTATCGACTAGTCGAATTGAAGGTAGTGGTGATTCAAACTCACTCCTTTTTACGACAAATAAAGAGATAAAATAATTTGAAAAGTTATCATGTATGGATTTGATATTCGCTGAAAAACGATCGATAAAATGCCAAATAGAGCTTGGCTGTACCCATATCGGATCGGTACCGATATTTAACCGATCCGATATTCATTATTGTTCTGGATTATTTTATGAATGTATATATAGTCATATAATTTTTTTCGAAAAAAAATAGTTAACAATTTTATATTTTTTGTTAAATTATCTGCAACAAGAAAAAGATTTTAAAATATCTAACGATTCACATTTAGCTATAAACGGCTTGATTTAGCCAATTTTTAAAAACGTTTAGCTCAAGATTTTGGCCAATAATAAATAACTCAAGCTTATTGATTTTGCCTACAAATGGCAGACAGATTTCGAGGCTTAGGTAATAATATTTGGGCGAAAATCTTGATTCTGGAGTTGTTTAACAACGCTACATTCACTCTTAACATTGCAAATATTTTAAAATGAGATTATTAACTTTTAGAGAATAAAAATTAAGAGAAAATATTGATATTTTTATGACATTGATACAAAGATAAGATGGTAAATAAAAATCAATATGAATATCGGATGGATGGATCGGTTTTTTATTAATATCGGAAAATATCAGATAGGATCGGTGAAAAATTTGTGGATCGATACAGCCCTACGAATAGATATAATTAATTTTATTTAAGCCAAGGCCGTAGAAAAAATTTACACACCCCGAGACCATAAAAATATTTTTAAAATAAATCCGGGGCAAAAAAATTTTTGAAGGAAAAAAAAAAATCAGGGCGGGGCCTCAAAATATAAAATTCGGGTTGGACCGATAAAATTTTTTCTTAAAAAAAATCTGGGCCAAAGAATTTTTTTTCAAATCTAGACCGTGTAAATGGTGGCTCTGCAGGTCTCTAATTTTTAAAAAAATATATTTAAAATATATAAAAACAGTAACAATATACTATTTAATGTCTGATGGAAGCTTTGTGTTGCCAATTTCTATGGCTCAAATTTTTGGTTAATATCTATCAGAGACCTGCAGGCTCTATCCAGAGCTTGGAGCAAACTATATCATTCTAAAAAATATTCAAATCCAGGCTGGGCCTAAAAATTATTTTTTTAACAAAACCTTGGCAGACCGATTAAAATTATATCCATTAATTATCTGGAAAATCATATATTCGAGCATTTAAAATTCATTTACTGCTCATATTTTCCTTTGAACTCACTAAATACAGCCAAAATTATCTGAAATAATAAAACTTTGAAATCCCAGGACCCAAGCTAATGAGGATTTAACCCTCCTCAATACTAACTAAAAATTAGCAGAAAAGAAAAAGGAAATCAAATTAACTCTAATTATATCAATAAGTGTTGTTAGAAATACCTACCACCTCCAATTTCAATGATGATCTAAGTTTTATGGGTTCAAAATATTATTTGAAAAAAATTAAAATGGATTTAATTTGTTGAAAATTCAAGCTGTGCTTAAAATTTTAACCCTTGGATGTCTACTTCGAATAGATACAGCAATTTTTATTTTAATATGTGGTAATTGATATGTATGATTTACTCTGCGAATATATACTATTTATTGTAGAGAGCTGCAAAGCCCTGCCTGACCCTGCCCCCCCCCCACTAAGTCCAAAATGAATTTGTCTGGGTAGAGACTATTTTTTGGAAATAATATTGGTTCAGGCAATAACAAAAAAAATTTTAATTTCAGGCTGGGGTTTTTTAGCAGCTTAGATATTTAGGCCCAATGTTAATTCCTAATTCAATGTATTATTTGGGAGGGAGTTACCAACATGAATGTAGAAAAGAGTGATACCTTTATAAAAGTAACATAATTTGAAAGAGGTAATATTAGAGAATGTTGAAATAAAAACTATATCAGCGAAGAATTAGACAAAAATAAATGGAAAAAGATTATCAAATTTTTAAATGAAATTTTAGCTCTCTAAAATAAAGAATAATTTATTGTACTTATGTGAAATAAAGTCTAAAAGATTATTAATTTAAGCAATAAGTCAAATGTTTGAAAAATAGAAATATAATGATTAAAATCCTCAATCTTTTTCTATTATTAGTATTAAATTTTATGATGTCTTATTTTAATTTGATATTAACTTTCGTGAAATTAAAGATAGTTATTGATAAATTTTTTAGGAATGATAATGCTATTTTGCTTGGTAAACATAATAACTAAATTAGGAGAATCCAAGTCATGAATTAGCTAGATGAGGGTTAACTATAAAATATTAATATATTTTTGTTAGATATGGCATTGAAGAAAATCAAATATAAAGAAAAAAAAATAATCAAATTTTCAGCAAAAATTATATCTTTTTACATATTTACTACCTAAAAAGTTGTTTATCATTGGTATTGAATTTATATCTGTTGTCTTATCATAATCAAGTTGCCATATAACTCGCATTTTATCTCGTTTGATCTGTAAAGCATTTTTTTCTTCATCAAAGAATGCCTGTGAGCATCTATACATAGTTTAGTTAAATATTTTATATATGCATCAACCTTCGTGGTTTTCCCAGCAACTTCCGAATTTTACACCATTGAACTCTATTTAATTTCATGACTTTTAGATTTGGAAATGAACTTTTTAGGCAAATATGAAATTCATTTTTCATGTTAAATATTGCTTTGTCCATATCAGAATAAAACCACTCATAGTAGAGCCAATTAGAGGCCTTAGGTAGCCTCAGAAAGTTTTTTAATGAGTTATTATTGTTGTAATACATATAAACTTTAAAAATTGAAAAAAATTTTGAATTTGTATTATTTTAAATTTTAATATAGTTCCACAAGGCACGTAGAATAGTTAAAAATATAACATCTTATCACAATCATAGGCCAAACTAGAAATACATAGAGAAACTGAATCATAAATAGTTTATTTTTAAGCATTAAATATTCAGAAAGCATTGTTAAGAATTTAGACAATGGTTTTAGCTAGAGGTGAAATATGTTAGATATATATGATAGATATATGTTAAACGATTTGTTTTGTTTACTTATTATCAATTTAATTAAACAAGCCAATATTTGCAAGCATATATTTTTCTCAATATTTATGTTAATATTAAAATAGGATATAAAAAAAATGTGGGTATAAGACTTTATAGTGAGCAAGAATCAACATTACATCTATCTAGGTCAAATTTTGAAGGGGCAGAGATGAAGAAAAAAAAATAGAAAATTATGAAATTAAATTAACTCAAGATAAGGTTTAACAAAAATATAATCAGAATTATCATAAAAATGTGAAAAACATATTAAAATGTGTAAACATTAATATAAACAGAAAATAGATACATATTGAGTAAAAACTTAAAAAAATCTAACTCTAGAGATATATGTCTATTTCTTAGCAATAGCTTCCTTCTCAGAAATTAAAAGTGTAGAACAGAATGATATTTTTTGTTAATTAATAGTAATATTTCTTTAATTTTAATATTTCCTATGGCTATAAGCTGGTATCAATCTCTACAAGAAATGTGGTAGTTTTGTTAAAAAGACCGATTTGATACGATTTTAAAAATATACCGTATTAAAATTGCCTAAATAATATTATACAAGACTTATACAAGACTGGAGATTTTGTTTATAAATGGCAGAAAGGTTTGGACCTCTAGTTGCCAAATCACAAGGCTTGCTTAATATTATTATGATTAAAATCTTATTAGCCGTTTTCAAAAATCAATCCATATAGGACTTTTAGAAAACTAGAATGGGGGGTGGTGCGGATTTATTCTAAAGGGGGGGGGGGGGGTAGGCAATAAAAATAATTCTGACATAGGGGATAAATTCCATGTATTATCTTCAAATTATTTTCACCTAACTAGGCGCTGATTGGTGACTGCAAAATTAATAAGGTAAGAAGACACTTATATCGTGGAATGGGTAGTATTGTTAATTGTTAGGTTTTGTAAAACCCATACCTGATTGGGTCTAAAATTCGACTAAACCAGCCCTGAGCACAAAACCCCGAACACAGATACGGGGTTCAGACCCAGGATTCAGACCGGGAGTTCACATCTGTGGTTTAAACTCATGGTTCAGATAAATATGTTATTCCAAATAGTTCAAATAAAAAATATTTACCAAAAATATAGAAACAGCAAAATGCAATGACATTTTCTGAGGTTAGATAGTAAAGCCCTGCAGGCAAATCAGCTTAGGGTTAAAAAATATGGATCACCTATGGATTAGAAATATAGAATTAAAATAAGTTATTATGGTTAGTCGAGCAATTATTTCTTGCTATGCCATCCTAGTTCAGAAGTAGATACGAATTTTCTTGCCGGATTTGTTTTATTTAATCACTATATTGATTTTTTTTTCTAATATCAGAAATGTATATTAGACAAGTACATTTATAATGGGATATTTATAATACTTTTGGATCGTTTTTATTTAGGTGGGAGGGGGTTGTTATTTGTCCAGCTTATTCTGAAATCAAAATATATAAAATCTTCAATTTACTTTTACAAAGTTTGTATAATTGGGTAATGGCTAAATATAAGCTATCTCGGCTCAATCTTTAGGCGCTTGTCGAAGAAAATCCATTAACATTGTTTGAGGCGTTTTAATTTATATTAATTTCTTTCAAATCTAAGCCTCTATCTTTTTAAGAATACCTCCTAAAAGCCAGATTGATAGTTTTATGCTAAAAGAATAAGTTTTAGCCATTTTTTAGCTGAATAAAAATATATTTGGTTTGAAGAAGTTTAAAAATAAAATTTTGTAAAATTTAAAAAAAATTAATATATAATAAATTTTTTTTAAAAAATAATGTTTTTCTCAAGATTTTCTTTCATGTTTTTAAAAGAAATTTTGGCAAAAACAAGTAACATGCGTTTTTTAAAATTATTTTTAAGTTGTTTATTAATTATTATATTTTAAGTTATTTATATAGAAATTTTTTTTTAAAATAATTTTCGTTTTTTTAATATTTAGTTTATTAATTATTATTTTTCAGTGCTGTTATTGTTAATGAATTAAACCCATGCAGATAAAAATATTTTGTTTAAAAAATAATTAAAATAATACGTTTACTTTTAAAAACTTGAAAGAAAATGTTAATATAAAATTTTTTTTAAAAATATATATTTTTATATTAATTTATTTTTATAAAACATTTTTAATTTTAAACTTCAAATCAAATATATATATAGCCGGTTAAGAAATGGCTAGATCAAGTGTTTTAGCCTAAAACTATCACTCTGGCTTTTCGGTTATTATTAAATTGATAGAGGCAAATTTGAAGGAAATTAATATAAATTAAATCGCCTCAATGTTAACGGATTTTCTTTGGCTAGCGCCTGATGATCAAGGCGAGTTAGCTTGTATTTAGCCATTACCCAATTATAGCAATCATACAAACTTTGTAAAAAGTGTAAATTGAAGATTTTATATATTTTGACTTCAGAATAGGCAGGACAAAAGGACGCTTGTTTATAACAACCCCCCCCCCCCCCCCCCCCCCAATAACCTTAAGCTGAGTTGCCTGCAGGGCTTTACTATGAAAATGCCATTGAATTTTGCTGTTTCTATATTTCTGGCAAATATTCTTTATTTGAACTATTTGGAATAATATTATTCATCTGAACCCTGTAAACCACGGGTCTGAACCACGAGTCTAAAACCCGAGTTCGTGCACTGAGCAGGCCTGGGCACAAAATTGGGTCTTAAATTTTACGACCAACAAATTAACAACACTAGGAATGGGAAACCATTGTCGAAAATAACCATAAAAATTAATAAGACTGGCCAAATATATATTGGAGTTCTAAAAAATAGAGTACTAAAAATAGTGCCAGGCCTCCACCAAGTAATATATTGTATGCATATTTTAAAATTTTAAGTATTCGGGTTCGGGAAGGTGAAAATATTTAAAGAATTCCGGTTCGGCTATGATTAAGATGCTTAAAATTAATTAGTTACATTTTTAGAAAAATTATATTTAAAAAAAATTGAGTTCTGAATTAAAAAAATATAGAAAACGTAACTTGGATATAATATTTGTTAAGTATATTATAAGTATGCAAATTTAAAAATAGATATTTGTAAGAAGGTTATTAGGGTTGAAGCATTTGGACCTTGTTATTAATCATATAAACTTGCATTCAATTAGGTCCAAATTAATGGGTAACCATAAAAGTGTTTTTATTTAAAACAATTTGAAATGTACATATTTATGTCTCAGATAGAAAACAACAAGAATATTTATATATAAAATGAAATATGTTATATCATTATAAGTATTATAGATGTACATAAAAAATTATATTAATATATTTCTATAAAAAAAAAATAACTATAATTTTTCTTGTAAACTAGTGACTAAAAGTGATGAATACAGGAGAAACTATAAAAAAATGTAATAAAATAAATATTATTTTAAAAAAGATGTAGGTTCATACAAAAGATAAATGAATGGACAGATCTCTAAAGAGATCCTCTATCTTGGATAAAACCCAGCATTTAGATATCAAGTTCTCCAGATATTTTTTCAGCTCATAATTAATTAGAAAGCCTCGTTTCCAAAGATTTTAAAGTTATGATAAACATGAGCACGAATTATTTCAAGCATAGTTAGTATGCTGGCTCTTCCAGAATTTTTCTAATATATTATTATTCATTAATTTGTATTGTGGCTGGCCTTCGTGAGAATATTTGCAATGCAGTGAGTGGTAATCTTTGTTGCCAAATTACTTTTCCTCAGTCAACAATTAGATGGCGTTACTTTGATACAGCATAGGCGGTGTGTGAGAGATTCTAATTTGTTTTACCAAGAGAAAAATTAGAGATTGAATTAGGGATTGATTAGAATAGTTTATTTATTTCCATCGATTTCATTATCTAAACACAAAGAATTAAGAAATAAATTAATTTGTGTTTAATAATCGGAATCACTCTATGTATCCCTAAGCAAAATAAGAGTGGATCTAAGGGGTCTTACCGCAAAATCCTTTCTCGCGATAATAAAACATGATTATAAAATTTTAAAAATGAAAGGTTATAGCTATTATAAATATAGTTTGAATATTCAGGATACTTCTGGCAATAACAGGAACAAAATGTTTTGATGGCATTGAATATGTTTCTGAAATCGAATTTTAAAAATAGTTAATGGCATAGATCTAAGATTCCAAACCTCCCTGGATATCGAATCCCATGGTGGGGTTTATAACATTATAAAGAGAATTTTTAATTCTGGAACATATGATTTTATATATAACTTACCGGAGTATAGATCCAATTGCAAGGGGTCTGTTGCCACCCTTTTTTTCTAAGATTTATAACCGGGCACCATATAAGATTAGAAGAATTTGAGGTGGAATATTCATATTTCGAATGATTGAGATAGGGGAGACCAGGGCTAGTCGGCACAAGGGGCTTGTCGGTTCAAAGGATTTTATTTTAAACCAGTAAATAAATTTTGATATTTAGTTCTAAAATAGAATTCTATAATATCCATAATTGGGGATGAAAATAATTTATAATATTTAGCTATTTAAATTTTTATCCGTTATGACATGCTTTTGACGTAAAAATTACAATATTTTCACTTAATATTATTAGGTTGTATTAAAAAATTAAAAGTTTAAACATGACAAAATGAACATTATATGAAAGCTAAATTTCTATTTTAATATTTGGCAAAGTTTCAGATTGATATATAATGCTTAAATATTTGTTAAGAT